GGGGTGTGGGGGGTTGTGCCTTTTTAGAACAAGCAGAGAATTTGGGTGAGATGGATAATGCTCTAGGGTGATTCATAGTTTAATCCTAGCTAGGTATGACATCATAGCAACACAAACAAGCAAATTGGTGGAGAATTGTCAGTTTAAGTTCAATGTGGTGACCTTTGCAGATGATGAAATGTAGAATCTAGATGTGAGTGAATCTTGGACGGACTTTTCCCAAAAGAGGGAATAAGAATAACAAGAAAAGAAAAAGAAAAAAAAACATGCTGGAGCACCCCAAAATTGCTGAAAGATCTAATGTGGCAATAAAAGAAACAATCCCATATAGATGTCTCCTATTGTGGCACCTTTACTGAACGTTCGGTGGTGATAATACATGCATGCAAGGTAAAGAAGGTCCCAAGCAGTAACCTAAAACATGGGAGACTGGTCCTCTTCTTCTATACCACTCAGCTTGTGCACTGGGGTCAAGCACCAAATGGGGAATGTTGGCAGTAGAGCCATAAAAGCAACAAAGGCAAGGGGTGCATTGTAGTAATGCATGTGCTGCAATGTGCTTTATTGTGCGTTTCGGCACACTCAGCTACCACATCTCGTTCATTTTTAATAAGTTCCAATACTGGAAAAATTGTTACTACTCATCTTGTGTTGTGATGTGCAGCAGAGCAAGTGAGCTTTCCATATGTATTGGGGAGCTATTCAAAATAGTGAATGGCATGAATGTCCTGTCAGTCAAGGTAACACTTGTTAACCTAACTGGGTGTTTTTTAGGTGGCCAGCTGCTGGCAAGTTTCTTATTTCTAATTATATTACCAAAAACAAGGATATTTGGTTATACGCCCAACAATCGCAAATTGTAATAAAGACACAGCAATGTAACACAGACCATACAAATTATTATTTATGGTCTTAAAATATTCACAGACAATTGTCTCTGCACTGAAAGGATTAGGGATACAATTTTAGCTGTCCTCGTTTACACTTTTCAAAGACTGATAAGTGAACATCTTCCACCACACTGAAAACTATGTTTTTCCATTACTTATTATTTAGAAATCAATGCCATTGCCATCTTCCATGAATATTTAGAAACAATGCCATCTACCATTTTCCATTACTGTTTACAAACAATGCCATTTTCCATTACTATTTAGAAACAATACCATCTACCATTTGCCAATATTATTTAGAATCAATGCCATTTGCCATTACTATTTACCAACAATGCCATTTTCCATTCTTAAAACACAGAATTTTTTGAACAAAATTTTTTATCACACGAAGCTACAAGTCTATGTCTTATAATAAATATCGATCAGAAATTGTTGAGACCTTATACCAGATTTAAAAGGCACTCCTTTTTATCAGAAGTATTAAAAAAAACTCCAACCTTTTCCTACAACTACAGCTGAATGCCTTTTGCAAAGTGAACAATGTGCTCACTGCACATAAACAACCTGCACTTAGAAGTATAAAACGACAAAGAAGTGCAAAGCAATGGTGGTGAAATAAAGAAGCAGTCATATAAACGGGTCTGAACAAACAGCATACTGGGTAAGAAATGGAAATGTCATTGCTAGGGAGCGCAACTGTCCAGCAGTGATACTGGGCGATTTGGTGGTGAGAAACACACCTGAGCAAGTCATATACTATTCAATTCCATCTTCAGGTTACATCCAACCAGGTGGGTACATAAAGAGTGCATACAGAATGCTTTGGTAAATGTGCTTATGTATCACACACAGTGTTGTGCAAGAGAAAAGTGTGAGCTGGAAAATAATCAGTAGTGGGTTAGGCATATGGGCTTAGGGTATATAGTATACATTATCATTTATATTCTTCCAAAATATGTGTACTCTTATAGAAAACCTCTAACATAGACTCTTCTTATATGTTCTCTTTGAAAGGCCACTAAAACGTGTCAGCATTAAAGTTAAAAAAACGAATATCCAACAGCAGCTTTCAGACATTAGATTAATATATCTAGTAGGTGGGAGCGTGCAGGCATCTCCACGACCAAAGAATTACAAAAAATAAAATCTGCTCTGACACACCGATGTGCAATAGACAATATGCCAGGCCAGTCTCACCACACAACTGTTAAATACTGCAGACAGGCGCTCCATCCGCTCTGCTGCCTCGTACCAAACATTCATTGTGCTGCATTGGTAGTGATTATCGGTTTTCAATACTGCCATTCATGTCTTCTATAAACAAGTCCATCACATGTCAGGGTTACAGCTGCTGGACTTTAGAGGGATCGCTCATACTGTCCGTCCTATGCCGACTTAACTGCTGCTGGTGTGATGGAGCAAAAGTGCTTTGTTGTACAGGGAAAGAGGAGAGGATGAGCTGAGCTGACTGGTTCCCATGAACCAACCTGGATGCCTGGGGGGACAAACAAAACAGTGTTGTGACACCTTCAAGAGGAAAAAAAAAAGAAGCAGCTTGCATTCACATTAAATTTTTTATGTTTAAACAGGACTGTAACAAAGGTGGACAGGTGAGCATATTCCTAACAGCTTTGAAATATGAACTTTAAAAGCAGGAGTTTTTGAAAAAAAAAGAACAATTCCTCAATGACCTATGTACCTAAAAGAATTTTTAAGTAATTCATCATCAACATTTACAGCAGAAATAACTTTCCGCAGCTCAGCTACCCCTGATCCCACTTCCCAGAAGTTATTCAGCAGCCTTACAGCATTCTAATCTGTAATGTAAACATAGCAGTTGCACAGGAAGAGAAGGGACAGCAGACTAGAATGACTTCAGTGCTTTTGCTGTAAATTCTGAGAATAAACTGCTCCACAGTACCCACAGCTACAGAGGTCAGTGGGAGAATGCTGTGAAGTTAATTTACTGCTTAAGAATATGTAAGTGCTCTCTAGTCCCAATTATATTTTTTTTAATTCTGCATAGACTTGGAAAGAGTAAATTAGAATTTTTGTCAAACCTGTAAAATGCTTTTCTTGGAGTACATTACAGGACACAGGGTTCTGAAAGCAAAGCTATACCGCCACCTTCAGGAGTTTGGATACTGGCATAGCAAAGCTGTAAGAACAGCCCAGTATAGCAATTACCAGTTCCAGCAAGCCTCAAGTTTTGTAGCAAGCAATAATAGGTGTGGACCATGAGAAACAGAGGGGAGGGCCTGTGTCTTGTAATGCACTCCATGAAAGAACTTTACAAGACAAAAATCTGTTTTTCTTAATCATACATTATTGGTTCCCCGATGGAAATTCTGAAATCATTTATTGTCCAAAAGCAGTCCAAGTGAGGTGTGGGCAGCACAGGGAATGGCCAGAAAAAAAAATTTGAATGGACAGGTCCCTTCAACCTACAGGGATGCTTGAAAAACCTTACAATGAAAGCTGGCATCTACAGAGGCCTGAATGTCTACCTGCTGAAACTTAATGAACATGTGAACTGAAAACCAGATGGTAACCTTGCAAATCTAGGAAACTGAAGCTTGATGCTAAAAAGCCCAGAAAGCACCAATGGATCTAGTGGAATGTGCCCTGACTAAAAAACAGGGAGCCTGAACTTGAAGTGATAAGCTGGATGATGAGTTGTCATAGCCACCTAGTGATAGTGGAATAAGAAGCCAGCTGACCAATGCAGAGGCCTTCAGGAATGACAAATTGAAAGTCGGACTGACGAACAGGAGCTTCAACAGAAAGGGGAGAAACCTAAATAGTGTGTACCGCATGCAAACAATGAAGAGAAGTCTCTTAAGGATGTTTAGAAGCAGGACATAAAAATGGCAAAATGATGTCCTGGTTAAGGTGGAAGGAAGAAACCACCTTGAGAAGGAAAGAAGCACTGCGCCTCAAAATAGCCATGTCTTTGTGTAACACAAGAAAAGGTTCTCAACAGATCAAGGCCACAACTTAGAAAGATGCTTTGCGGGGGCGTGGCTAAGACATGGCCGAGTGAAGACGCACGTTGCCGGAGCTCTGTTCCCCCTGACCAGTTAATGGACTCTGTGGACTGTATTCTCTCACCCTCTCTGCATGTCGCAAGCTAAACGGACACCCGGTGCTTCAGCGGTGACCCCGGCTCCGATATTCAACGGTTCTTCTATAAGACGCGGTCATCGGGAGAGGCGCCCGCACCGGACAACATGGCGCAGCCACGCGCGGCCTCTTCCTGCAACACCCCAGGGAAGCGTACAGGTCAGGTACCACAGACGATGGCCGCGGGGGAGACGGCATCCCGGCCGGGGTGTCCCTCGTCCCCCATCCTCACGCCCCGCTTCCCTGATGATGAGTGCTCCCTGGGCCCGGAGGCCTCCGGGCCTACAGCGCCCTCGGCTATGGGCGAGCCCGACGACTGGATACACTACCTCCAGCAGCTCCCGACGAAGCGGGATCTGGATGACATGGCCACGAAAATCGTGGCAGCGCTGCGGCAGGAGGTACATGCTGTGCAGCAGCGGGTCACCAGCCTAGAAGCCCAGGTCACCACTGTAGAGCAGTCTACGTCTCAGCTGGCACAGCGTATTACCGCTTTGGAGGGTGTCCATGGCGAGACCCAGCAGCGCCTGACCACACTATTCCTGCACCAGGACGATGCAGAAAACAGGAGCCGACGGAACAATCTGCGCCTGAAGGGTGTCCCGGAGGCATCCTCTGG